CAGGGCCGGGCCGGGCCGGGCCGGGCCGGGCGGGCGGTGCGAGCCCTCCGCCCCTGCCGTTAACCCCTTCCCCGCCGGTCCAGAACGGACCGTTGACCCCCGGGTAGGCTCTTAACCGGAGAACGGTAAGGTCCCGGAGCAAGGTGGGGGAAAGCGGCGGAGTCAGCTTCCAGCGGCCGAGCCCCCGACGGGAGGGAGGCGGCGGGATGGATGGGAAGGGACGGTCTCCTTCCAGCACCCACCGTGCAACAGCGGCTGCGACCCCCGCCATCCCCCCGGGATCCGCTCCGGAGTCACCCCGGGGCAGGGCCCCCCCCCCCCCGGCACCGCCGCCTCGGGGGTCCCCGCTGGGGTACCGGCGGTAGGTTTGCAAGGTGCTGTGGTGGGATACGCGCTACGTGGTGTGTGATAAAGTACAACCGCTTGTGAGTCCGTCCTGGAGAAGCCCTGGAGCAGGAACAGGAGGAAAAGGCATCCACCGCACGACAGACACGACCAAGCTGACGGTGCGTGTCCTGGCCGGGATCTAATGCGGGCGGTTGTACTCAGCCCCCTCACTCCCCCTGCAATCTCAGCTAGACACCTTTTTTAAAAAACCTGGACTAAAGTGGGTTTTAGTAGGAATTGCCAGCCAGTTGCCCCACGCCACCCCAGAGCCAGCTGCATTTCAACCCCAGGTGCAGCTACCCCTGCTCTTTGAGAAAGTGGCAAGCACAGCTACAGCGTGTGGCCCTCCTGCTGCCATGCACTCAAGGGGACGGGCAGCTATGTATTATATTAAGACTTTTTAATGGATACAGCTCTAGGCAGGTGTCACCAGCTGAAAAAACAGAGTTCCAGGGAGAGCAGGAGGGAGGATGAACCACATCTTCAGCAGCAGGCACAAGGCAGAGGCTTGAGATTTCTGTAACAGCAGCAAATTTGTGTGTCAATTGGAGATGTATAATTGGAGACGGTAAGTGGCTGTGGCTCCCTGCCTCTTGGCCAAGGCGAATCACACTGTGCTCTCACTGCTGCATGGTTTTCCTTTTGCAGAGCTGTCCTTGGGCAGTGAGAGGAGAGCCCCTGCTGTTATGCTCCTGCAGTGCCGCAGCTCTGGCACCCCACTCCTTGGGCAGCTTCTCTGCAGAATTAGGAGGGAGATGAGTTTGTTCGTGGCAGGAAAATCCTGTGTCCCTTCCAGACCACTGGACCCACCGCAGATGATGCTGGGGGGGATCCAGTGTCTATGGCAGCAGTTTCACATCCAGTGTTCGAAAACACTTTAGCAAACCCGATTTCCAGCATTGTGAGCAGAGCACAGGTAAAACAGGTTAAAAAAGTGAAGTGAGCTCCAGCCTGGGGACTCATTTCTGGTCTTACGGGGGTGACTTCAACTGCTACCTGGAGTCACGGCACAGCCAGCGCAGGGTGGGCTGAACAAGGACCTGGCTCTGCTGCTGCCTGTGTGGCCCCACAGACCAGCCCCCATGGGAGGCAGGGGTGAAGGCACATGCCTTTCCTTTAAAGGCGATACAGCCACTGACCTCTGCCACCCAGTGGGAGTGACACTGGCAGAAGCTGGCCATGTCCAGCTGCTTCCCATCCAGCCCATGCTGGCTGCACAGCCTGGTGCCACCAGCCGGCTCCTCTCCAGTGGGGAGGGCGTGCGGGTGCTGACGCGGGGCTGTGGGTGATGCAGTTGCAAGTGTCGGCTCTCCCACCTCCCTGCCCGCTCCATTGCTATGCCACCCAGCCCCTGGGACTGCCAGCAATTGGGCTGGTTTATAGCCAGACCTGGTGACATCCAGTGAGCCAAGTGGAACTGGGAGAGGACACAAAGACCAGAGTTGTAGGCAGCGGCAACCTTGCGCTACCCTGGAGCAGGGGAACAGCAAGAGCAGAGCTGCTCTTACCCTGCAGCAAGCAGAGGATGCCCCACCTGCCTGCCAGGAGCTGGTTAAGGGTCCAGCTTTGGTTCTGCTTGGTACCAATTTAGCCCTCTCTGCTGTGAGCTCCCTTCCCCTGGGAAGCAGGCAAGCTGCACGCCCTCCAGGGAGCAGCTCTCTGCCTGGCTTCACCGGGATTCATCTCCGCACCTCCGTGACCACAGCACATGAACATCACACTGCAGGGTGCTGTGCAGCAGGACCAGCTTCCAGCATGCGTACGACAGCCTCTCTCATCTTCTTCTGGGGCAGGAGGGACTGCCAGGTGTTACAGCTTTGGTACGTTACATACTTGATAAGCTGTCCCTCCCTGGTGCGCTGTGCTGCAGTGGGGAAGGAGGGATGGAGGGACATGTCCAGCATGGAGGAGATTTGTGATGGTTCTTTGTTCACTCCATGGTGAGAGACCAACCCTGTGATGGCTCCATATCCTGCACAGAGACATTGGTGGTCCCTGGTAGCTGGTTGTCCCCCTGCCCGAGGACAGAGCTGGTGGCTGAAGTCATGCCGCAGAGTGCTCAGGATGCTGAGCCTGAACTTGTGCGGATAAGGACCTGGGGTGTGATATTGCATGGTGGGCAGTTTGAAGAGCAGTGGGAGGGATCGATGCTGGTGAACGCAGGGTGTCCTTCACTCTGCCGTTCCCTGTGCAGGGGGGCACGGAGGTGGTGGGGCGGTGGCCAGGGACCTGTCACTGCCACTGCGAGCAGCCCTCGGGGAGGCTCCGCAAAATGTCCTCCAGGTTCTGCTTGTCAGCCCGGATCTCAGCCAAGTCGCTCTCGAACGCCTGGATCTTCTCCTGCTGCCGTGCCGCCTCCTGCTGCAGCAGGCTGAGCTGGCCGGCCAGGGCACCCGGCGCAGCCAGGCGCAGCCACAGCCGCTCCAGCTCCAGCCGCCCGGCGCTCAGCACCGCTTCCACCTGCACGGCCTGCTCCAGGTTGCCTGGGCAAGGGGAGAGGACATGGATGAGAGGCAGAGAGCCGGGCAGGAGAGGTTCTGGACAAGCTCCAGGGGCTCAGACCCTCGGCATCAGGCAAACTATAGGGAGTGGGTGCAGCGGGGCATGGAGGCATTGCAGCTTCCCAGAGATCACAGATAAGTAAATAGGACTGTGGCTCCAGGCAGGGCCTGGGCACATCTCTCTCTTACAGACGGGTGATGATTTCCACCCCTTTGCAAAACTTCTCGGATGCAAGACTCCAGGAGCGCTCAGCAATGTACCCAGATGATCAAAGCAGGAGGAGCTGGAGCAAAACCAACCAGTAACAAAGAGCAAACCCAGCCCAGCACAGCCCTCAGCTCCAAAGGGACTGAGCCCTTGACCCAGCCCTGCTCCTCCCGGAGATGCCAAGGGAGATCAGTGTCCCCACACCAGGCATGAGCGTACACATTCCGCAAGCCCCAATACATTCTGCACGAGAGCTTTCCTCGAGACGTGAGCCCTCAAGAGACTTTGCTAAGACCCTGAGCGATCTCAGCCAAAGGGCACCCAGCTTAGCCCGGTTGGCCAGTGAGCAGGAGAGCCCTGGGCCCCAACAGCTTGGTCCTTCCCCAAGAGCCTGCACCCTGCTCCCATCCAGGTCTCACCTAGGCTGCTCAGCAGGTTGTTCAGGGTCTTGATGTCCGAGATGAGTGAGCCCCGGGCTTCCTGGAGACTTTTTGCCATCTCACTCACCTCTGTCCCCACCTTCCAACACAGACAGAGCCAGATCAGGGACACTGCTGACCCTTGGCTGGATGGGAGAGGGAAGGGGATCCCAGGAATGGCCCCAAGGCATTCCCCATACGGTGGAGCCCAAAAGCCGGGATGCTCCCTGTGCTTTGGGCTATGGGCAAAACCCCTTCCAGGCTCTGGAGTACACAGCCTGAGGGGACCTGACTGACCCGCTGTGCTTCCTCCAGGTCGCCCCTGAGCTTCTCAGCCTCATGCTCCTGCCGGGAGAGCTCCCGCTGGGTCTCGTTGGCACGTGTGGCAAGCTGGCTGGCGTGCTTGCGGGCCTGCTTGCTCTCCTGCAGCATAGCCTGTGCCCTCTGCAAAGGGATGGAGATGGGGACAGTTACCTGGGGACATGCGGGGGGACCGTGGCTGGCTCCTAGGCTGGAGCCCTGGTTGGGTGCATCCCCCTGGTCTGCACGCAGGCAAGGGTGGGCTGTGCTGGACAGGCAGCAGAAGCTGTATTTGGGAGCTCTGCAGCCCTGCCTGCAACAGGCTGGGCTCTGCCTGTGATGGCTGCCAGCCTGGCTGCGCCCTGCAGCCTGGTGCAGGCTCCCCGCATGCCACATCCCTCCGCTCAGACCTTGGTGCTCTCCCCAGAGACTTGCTCAGCCTCCCTGGCTGTCCTCTGGGCTGTGGTGGAGACAGACAAGGAGTTTCCCAGCGTCTTCTCTGCCTGTTTAATCTTCCTGTGGGCCTCCATCAACGCCCTGTCCTGCACAAGTGCCATCCTCCTGCTCAGGGCAGCCTGGCCCTTCCGATGCCCTAGCACCTTCCTCATGCCTGTGGGGACAACCCAGCCATCACCAAACTGTCCCTTTCTCCCCTTGGGACCCAGAGCCAGCATGGTGAGAGCCGAGCTGTGGCTGGAGATGCTCTAGCTGGTGCCTTTTACCTTGCAAGCTGGCCAGTAAGGACTCTGTGTCGGAGAGCACAGCTTTTCCACGTGAGACAGCCAAGGTGGCTGTGCCATGGGCAGAGCCAGCCCGGTCCTGCAGCTGGGGAGAGGAGAGAAGGAGTTAGGCTTGGGAGGGGGCAAAGAGCTGCACGCAGCTGGGAAACATGGGTCCCAGCCCGCTCCCACTTGGCAGGCAAGCTCCTTGGGAGATCTGGGAGCCTGAGGGGAGATGTCTCCCACGATATCTGCTCCTGACCCCCTGGCTGCAGGCATAGTCCCTCTGGTCACTGGAGCAGCAAGGATGGGGGTCACCCCCCCCGCCCCCCATGCCTCAGATGGGAGGCAGGAGAGGGATGCACCCAGCATGCCCACAGCTCCAGCTGGAACAGCGGGTCCCCATCACTTATTTTGCAGGGACACCCCACGCAAGTGAGCGGCAATTACCTGCACGAAGCCACGAGTCCTCTGCAGCTCCCGGCGCAATCTGGCTGCCAGAGCACGGGATGCCTCAACAGCCTGCTGAGCCAATGGCTCCTGTGCCTCTGCTGCCTGCTCCAGCGCTGCCAAGTCCTGTGCCAGGGCTTCAGCCTGCACCGGCAGCGCCTGCTGCGGGGTCAGGGATGCCAAAGGCTCCATGAGAGCATCTCCTAGCCTGGGAGGCAGCGCTGCCCAACAGCCAAAGCTACGGGTAGGGATGCAAGCAGGAGCCTTAGCTTGGACGCTGCTCACCTGCCCCAGCGCAGCCACCTGCAGAAGTTTCTCGGCCATGTCTGCATTTGACTGCTGCACGGCTGCGAAAGCTCTCCCGGCCTCCACTGCCACCTCCGCCACGCCAGCGCCCAGCTCCTCCTGCGCCCGCTGGATTTCCTCGTACCTAAGTGGACAGGACGCCGCTGTCACCTGGGACCCTCTGGTCCCTCGAAGGATAGAGATAACAATCGGGGACCTGGCCCCAGACACAGATGTAGCGGAAAATGCTGGGGGCTTTCCCTTTAACACCCCCAGCACAGAGCGCTCTGGGTCTCCGCTTTGTAACACTGTGGTGCGATGAGTTTGACGGGTCTCGGCACGCCCCTGTTGGGCAGATGCCAAATCACCGTGACCGAGTCCTGTAACAGGGACCCGGCCAGAGGCAAGAGGTTGTGGTGCCCTGCCAGCCCCCCCCTTGCTGCCAGCCCCTCACCCAGCCTCCAGCTCGTGCTGTGCCTTCTGCATCGCATTCCCTTCCAGCAGGCTCCGCAGGAGCTCGGAGCTGGCGTTGGAGGCACGCAGAGCTCTCCCAACCACCGCCTCCACCTGCGCCGCGGTGTCCCGGTGGCTGCAGGGACAAGGGTACCCAGAGAGATGATAACAGGGTCGGCCTTCTGGGAAAGCAGTGGCCATCCCACACCCCCAGCTGGGCAGGCAGCCTCCTCTGCCCGTGCGTGCCAGGGTCAGACTTGCAAGCGTACCTCTCAGCCAGTGCCCGCGCCTCCAGTGCCCGGCGGCTCCAGTTCGTGGGCTGCTGAGGGATTTCCTGGGGAATCTCCTTGAAACACAAAGAGCAGCAGTGAGACCCTGGCGGGGAACAGGGACTCCCCCAGCCCAGCACCAACGACAACCTCCCGAAGGGCTGGAGGAGGTTTACAAACAGGAGTAAGCAAGGGAAATAGCTCCTCTTGACTTAGCTGCAAGGAAGGCTATACCCACCCAGACCCCAGGCTTTCCCACTCACCCGCTGTGCTGGGCACATCCCACCCCACTAGTCCTGCACATCCCACTGCCCCCCAGGACGGCCACCAGCCCCACCGGGAGCCCGGGGCTGGTGGGAGCCCGCACCGTGGTAGCCAGGGTGTCCGCAGCATGCAGGATCTCCCGCTGCGCCGACTGCAGCACAGCCCCAATCTCTGACAGCAGGATGCAGGTCTTGGGGGGTCCGTGGCCAGAGCAGCCGGTGGCCTTGCTGGCGTTGCTGAGATGGTGTTGCGCTGTGCCCAGCACCCCTGCCAGCCGCCCCACCTGCGTCAAGAGGGCGGCCCGGGCACCTGCAGGCAGCACAAGGAGCTGCTTGTTGCCCACAGAGGTGCTCGGGGCTCCCCACTTGCCTGTGGGGCTGCCCATGCCTGAGCACCCCCCCTTCTGCCTGCTAATGAAAGGGGAAGACAGTCCCTCCTGGGTGCTCAGGAGGGACCCAGGGATGCAGCACCTAAAGGGATGCTCAGTCCCCGGTAATGCCCATCACCAGCTGCTCCAAAACCTCCCAGGTGCAAGCACCCCTGCGGTGCTCTGTCCTACACAAAAAGGCATGGCCCCCCTGTCTGCCCTCCCCCTCTCCATCACCCCATCGCTGACCTGGGACCTCCTTGCACCCACCCAGCATGTCACAGCACCCTGCGGGAGCAGAGGGTCCCCAGAGGGGTGATGTGGGGCTCCCCCCGTGGGGGGAGGTTGTCCCCCGTACCTTGCAGGAGGTGAGGTCTGGGCAGCCCGTCTCCCTGGGGTGCATCTCCCAGCACGGGGGACTGGCCCGGGTGGGCATCGCAGCTTGTTTCTTGCAGCCATTCCTCCATCTCCTGCAGCCTGGCCTTCAGCCGGTCAGCCTGCGGGCGAGACGCAGGGGGACGTGGGGGGAAACTGAGGCAGTGCTGGGGCCGGGATGCTGCGCCCACCTTGGCCAGGGCACGGGCTGTACCTCATCCTTCACCAGCCCATAGCAGGCAGGACACTGCTGGCAGCGGGAGCTCGGTGGGTCAAGGAAGAAGTTGGTCTGGCAGTGGTCGCACTTGTAGCCCACGAAGCCGGGGCGGCAGAGGCAGGTGCTGTTCTCGTGGCACTGCGGGGTGACGGAGCCCAGCGGGGAGCAGTTACAGGCTGCAATGGTGGCAGAGAGGCGTCACGCTGCGGCTGCCAGCCCCGGTTTTGGGACCGAGGCGCGGTCCCCGTCCCCATTACCTCGGCAGCCCCTGGCAGAGAAGCCAAAGAAGCCGTGGTGGCATCGGTCACATTGCTTCCCCGTGACGCCCGGCTGGCAGGAGCACTGCCCCGTCACCACGTGGCACCCGCTCTCCTGTGACCCCGTCGGGTGGCACTCGCAGCTGGCACCGAGAGGCGAAGGGTGATGAGCGAGCAAGAGGTGCGAAGATCAGAGACCAAAACCAGGGATGCGGAGCCGCGGCTGTCCCCTCGCAGCCCCACGCGTACCTCTTGCACCCCACGGCAGGCTGCAGGCCGTAGTAGCCAGGCTGGCAGAGCCCACAGGCTCTGCCCATCACGTGCGGGAGGCAGCGGCACTGCCCCGTGCTAGGATCGCAGCCCTCCTGTCCCGGGGCTGAACCGTCGGGGTCGCAATCACAAGCTATGGGAGACAAAATACAGCTTCCATCCCGGCACGGGGCTGGCAGATGGGGCACCGGGGCTGAGCCCCCGCAATGTGGAGGGCCACATCTTCCTCATCAAACAGGGCTCCAAGAGGCTGAGCCCCTACAGCCCAGGGTATCTCCAGGGAAGGAGAGCAGCGGAGAGAGGGGGGAAAAAGCCATTCCTGAGCATTTGGAACCAACCCGGGCCATCACTCAGCCCCTAAACCCACTGGGCATCCCCTTTCCACCCTCTGCCTCCACCGCTGGGAGGAATTTGGCTGCAGTGGGACTCAGAGGAGCAGGGCCAGCCCCAGGGGCCGTACATACGTGCACACTTCCCGGCAGGATCGGGAGCCAGCGCGTCCCCGTAGAAGCCCAGCTGACACCTCTCGCAGTGCTCGCCCGTCGTGTTGTACAGGCAGCGTAGGCACCGGCCGGACACAGGGTCGCAGTTCCCCACGGCGTTGAGATCCACATTCCCATGACACTGGCAGGGGACACAGGGATGCACGGGGCCCCTCTGCCCCAGGGGGTCCCCGAAAAACCCATCGTCGCAGAGTTCACAGCGTTTTCCTGGGGAAGGCGGAAAGATGGGGAGTGTCTGGCTGTGTTGGTGCTACCCACGGCCCCCTCACCTGCCCACCCCCAGCTCACCTCTCTGTCCTGGGGGGCAGTGGGTGCAGACCACCTCCCCACTGCCAGGCATCTTGGTGCAGGGTGAGTGGCCGGGGCAGGGGCACGGCTTACAGTCATCGAAGCGCCCTACGAAGGGGTTGCCATAAAACCCGGGGCTGCAGCGCTCGCAGGAGGGACCTTCTGTATTGTGCAAGCACTGGCAGTGCCCTGCGAGGAGGAAAACGGAGCTAAGGGTCTGCAAAAACCCAGCCCCGAATAACAGCGGGGACGGCGGGAGAGATGGAGAGGCAAGTGCTGAGCATGGCACACTGCGGGTGCCAAAATGGATGCACAGCTCCAGCCAAGGGATCACGTTGGGATTGCACGTCCCCAGCCAGGACTCGGAACATTTTCCCTCCCTGTCCTTGCTCAAGGGAGAAGGTTTTTGGAGAGGATGCTCCAAACTCCCCCGCGCTCCCCCTCAGAGCTTGGGGACGAGGCGGCGCTGGCCGGCGAAGGCAACACCATCAAAGTGCACGGCATCTGTCGGCGCCTGCGATAATCGACAACATATTTCTCAGCGACGAGGCGCATCATTTCCAGCCTGTCATGGAAAACACAAGCAGCCGGCCGGCACCCAGCAGGGAGCGAGCGTCTCCTTGCGAGCCGAGCCGGTGAGTCACAGCCTTCTGAAATCGGCTGGGAGGAAGAGGAGGAGGAGGAGGAGGAAGGATGCCCAAGGAACCCCCCACCTCCAGGCAGATGCTCTGCTTGACTGGAGAGAGAGAAGGAGCCAGCGGGAGGATTTTTCCCCATGATTTGTGGGGTCAGGTCATACCAGGCGGGTTGCGCAGGAGGGAACGAGTGTTTTTCCATTTTCCCCACATCCAGGCGGAGCCGGATGATGGAAAAGAAAGGAAAAGCGGGTGGCAGTAAGGAGTGGAAAAATAAACAAAAGGAATCATGCAGGCTGGCTCGGGCTGGCAGCACTTGGACCGGGACATCAAAAGCCTGGCACCGTCCCTGGGGATTGTGCAGTCGGCAGTGCCAGCCCCGGCTCTGTGAGATGAGGGGCAAGTTTTCAGAGCTGCTGCCTCATTTCTGCTGGCAGGGCAGGGGCACTTGCTGAGCACGATGCCTCTTCCAGCCCTTTCCATCCTGGCCATACACTATTGTCGCTCCTCACCGAGGGGAGCCAGCCAGCAAGGAGCCCCAGGGGCTCCGGCTGGGTACCAAATGCATCACCTTATTTCCAAGCTCTTTTCAGTGCCAGTCAGAGCTTTTGCTTTCTGCAGGGGTGGACGGGGAGCAAGGCAGCATCTCATGAGCCCCTCACGGCTCTGATCTGCCTTTCCCCAGAGCTGACAGCAGCGAGGCCGGTGCCGGATTCACGCAGCCACCTCAAGCTCCAGGGCAGCAGTTTGCAATCCTGTCCCCCTTCCCTAACCAAAGCCACCCAGACACTGCCTGGCAGGAGAGGGGAGAGCCAACACCCTGCGAACCACCCCAGACACAGCCACACTGCCTTCAAGACTTTGATTTTGCTTCTTCCTCCCTTCAAGCCACAGTCTCTGCTGCAGTCACGCACCTCTGAGCTGAATCTGGAGGCAGAGCAGGGCTTAGGCTGGCAGCACAAGAGGCGGCTCCTCTGGTGCTTTCCTGCAAGCCTGGCACTGCTGTATTTTCCTGCTCTTTTACTTGTTTCTCTGCTCAGGTTCACCCCCAGTTTGCAGGGATCAGGGCTGTGCCCAGTCCTGCTCCCCTCCTCGGGCAGGAATGCTGCCTGCGATACCTGTCCTGGCAAAACCCTCTGCCTCTCTCCTGCCCTGACCCCTGTCTCCCCACTCCTCTGAGGACCAGCATCCTTCCTTTCTTCTCCTTTAAGGTCATAAATTACCATGAAAGATGCCTCTCTCATTATAAATTACCACCATTACTGCACTTTGTTAATTATCTCTGTCTTTGCATTTATGAACCCAGTCCCTACAACCAGCCAAGCAATTCAACTTGCAAGTTTTGGGTACCGCAGCCTCACAGATGGTTTTCAGCATCCCTCAGAAACAAGCAAAGACACGGATTTGTCACCCGTGCACACAGCAACGGGGCAAGTGGGGGGGGCGTGCGCACCTCCGAGGGGGTCACAGTCCCCGTGCTGGTTGCAGGTACAGGGCACGCAGCTGATGAAGGGACCACCGAAGGGGATCTCCCGCTTGAAGCCGGGCGCGCAGGACTGGCAGAACTGCCCGGTGTAGCCTGGGGGACACACGCACTCCTCCACCCAGCCCGCCTGTGCCCCCAGCCCGGGGCGAGCAGACGTGAGCTGGACCTCGCTCAGGGACAGCCTGCCTGCGAGAGGGGAGAGCAGTGTGAGAATGGGATGACACGTTCCCCCGGCCCTGCTCTTTCCATCCTGCCTGGAAATGCTCCAGATAGGTGTAGGAGACCCCAAAATACCTCCTGGAAAGCCCAGGGGTGTTCACAGAGAGGAGCCAGCCCCTGCCCCCCAACACACCCCCTGCAATGCTTCTCGTCCCTGAGGGCCTGATGCTGCTTCGATGTCCCCAGCCCCATCCCAGATTGGTCCCCGTGGGGACCTTGCATGGAGCCACCCACCTTGCACAGGGCCACGGCTCACGCGGAGGCGGAGGGTGGTCAGGTTGGAGAGCAGGCGCTGGAAGCTGAAGGCTGACAGTGAAGGCTCTGCACCCTCCTCTGCCTCATGCAGCCTGTTGGAGAAGGAACGTGGGAGGAAGGACAGGGCCAGCCTGGCAGCCATGCCGTGCAGGACAGCTCGGCTCCCTGACCGGGACCCAGGCGCAGCGATGGGGGCACAGTAAAATCCCCAAGAGGGTGCAGGGAGCAGGGCTGAACCCCAAAGCACAGGGCAGCCCAGGCAAGGTCAGACACGCTGTGTCCCAAACCCAGCCGAGGCTCCCCAAAGCGCCGTGATGGGTACCTGAAGGTGACAGCCTGCTTTCCGTGCTGGGGCTGGCTCTTGCTGCTGGACATGGTGATCTGCATCCCCTCACCCTCCAGCACCAGTTGGACCCGGAGTAGGGGCATCCCAGTCTCCATCCCTGTCCCGTTCCCCTCCACTCCCAGCAGCAGGGACAGGAGCTGCCCGTAACTGAGACGCTGGTTCTGCAGAAACTTCTCTGCGAGGGGAGAGAGGAGCAAAGTCTGTAGGACGTGGAGGTACCAAGTCTGCCGGGGCTGCCGGTGCAGTCCTGTTCCCACCAGCATCACCAGGAGGCACGGCCACCCTCCTCAAGCAGGGCCAGCTCCAACCTGCCCTCCCAGGGTCCCAGTCCACCGCTCCAATCCCCACCACTGCCCTGTGTTATTGAAACAAGCTCAGCTCTGGGATTCAGCCCAGTGCCTCACACACCGGTGTAGCAGTGGGATGTCCCACAAGAGCACCCAGGAGTCCCCATGGCAGAACAGGACCCCAGGGACCCGGCACACACGATACCTGGTGCAAGAAAGTCCACCGGCTCCTCTCCATCCCACTTGGTGACGATCTCCCCATCAGCCCAGCGCAGAGGCAGGTCTGCGATGCCCAGAGCTGCGGCAGCCCAGCCCTCCAGCCCTGCGTGACAGCACGGAGCGGCAGTGCAGGGGCAAAGGGGTGCTGCTTTCGGGGGCTCTGTCCCTCCTCCCGAGACTCTGCAGGGTTTTGTAAGGGGCCAGTGTTTTGTAATACCCTGCTCTGCTCAGGCTCTGTGCTCTCATGCACTGGAGAGTAGCCCTAGCCAGCCCCTCCCTCTGCTTATTTTCTTAGATTTGGAGGAAATTATTATCTTTAAACTTTCGCCCCCCTGCCTGTGCTGCGGTTCCAATGTTACTGTGGGCTGGAGAGCACAGGAAGCCCAGGGAGAGATGGGGAGTAATTGCATTAAGTCAGTTTCCTTCAAAAATCAGTTAAAATCCGCCCCCCCCCACTCCCCAGGGTGAGTTATTTCTTCCAGCCCCAGGCGCCCGCAGGACGAACACTTGGAAATCCCTCCCTGGCTCTTGAGTGAGCTGCACTCGATTATCAAATCATCCCCAATTTGGACCCTTTCACCCAGCACTGATCCAGCTCAGCTGAGGACTGGGGAGCAGGGTTTTAGGATGGTGGGTGGCTGCGCCCTGCCCCACGCTGCCCGGCCATGCTGAGCCTCTTGTAACCCAGCCCAGGGCTCTGCCAAACCTGTCCCTAAAGGAGCAGCCCCAAATTGGCTGCGTGAAGGGTGGAAAAAAGACTCGCTCTAAAGCCTGGCTCTATTTCAAGGCCGTGGAAGACATTACAGCAGTACAGCAATTGGCAGCACGGTTTAGAGGCAATCAGGATAAACCCGCGCCTGGCGTATTCGCATCCATCTGCTCACTGGCGCGCACACCCCGTCGGGGGAGAGCCGGGCTGCCCACGATGGGTGCCCATACCCTGCCGGGGTGCAGGCGGGGGTCCCGGCGAGCAGGGGTTGCGGTGGGTTCCGCGGTGTGCCCGCAGCCAGGGCTGCACACGTCGGGCTGCGCGGCAGATGGCAGGGTTTCCCCGAACATCCCGCACGCATCCAGCCCTGCCACGCACAGCCCTGGCTGCAGCTGGGCAAGAGCACCCCATCCCGCATCCCTGGCCCCCCCTGTCTGCCCTACCCCATCCCAGCTGAGGATGGGGAGAGGAGGGAATTAGGGGGAAAGTTCCCACCAGGCTCCATCCTTTTAGTTCTTATTTTTCTGAGCTGATTTTTAGGGCTCCTAATAGTCCCTGGTGTGGTGGGATGGCAATGCCCGGCTCCGCAGCATTTCCCGAGCCATGCACAGCCCTGGGAGCAGGTCGGCACGGAGGGACGCCACGGGGAGTCGGGGAGAGCCCGTCCCCACAGAGCTGGGGGCAAACGCAGAGGTTTAACAGCAAAATAGGGGCGAGCCAGAGAAAACCCCCTCCCACCGCCACCACCAGTTAGCCCCAAAGGGGGATGCTCAGCCCCAGTCTTCCCAAACTGCTGGAATTTTTTGGCTGGAGTTGGCGCAGCTGTGCCCTCTGTTTCTCCCCAGGGCTGGGGGGTTCGGTACCTTGGCTGAAGTCGGAGCGGACGTGGGTCACCTCGTAGCCATCTGCCGCCGTGCAGGCGGTGGAGTGGCCGTAGCAGAAGCAGCTGGTGCAGCCGGTGGGGTTGTGGGCTTGCAGGTTAAACCAGCCCGGCTGGCACCTGGGCATGGGGAGGAAACAGGAGCGGGTGGCACAGGGCAGGCAGAGCCACAGGGGACCACAGCAGCATCCCAGGTGGGGACACTGGTGGCAGCTCGGAGTGAGCCCAGTCCCAGTGGTCCAGAGGGATGCAGCTGCACTCTGCAGGGAGCGACCCCGCAGGATTCCCATCGCAAAATCCCTGTGAGGGCTCATGTGTAGGGGCTGGGAAAGCACCAATTCCCCACGGGAGTGAAGACACCTGCCCTGCACCGACCACCGAGCCCCAGCACGGAGCCCAGCCTGGAAAGGGGCCGCGGTCCCGTCCCCATCCCGGGGCCGTGGTGCTTACCTGTTGCACAAGTGCCCCTCCACCCTCTCCTTGCAGGTGCAATGCCCTGTGTTGGGGTCGCAGGTGCCCACGCTGCCCGCTGGGTCGCAGGCGCAGGGTCTGGATGGGGCAAGACAAGGGTACAAAGTGAGTCCCGGTCCCATCCTGCTGCTCCTGCTTGGGGCCGGGCTCCTCCTCACCTGCAGCCACCTTCGCTGAGGCTGTGGTAGCCGTCCTTGCAGCGCTCGCACTTCCAGCCCGTCACGTTGGCTTTGCAGACGCAGGTCCCCGAATTATCGCACTGGGGCTGCAGGGAGCCTGTGTGGACCCCAGCCAGCCCTGAGGCTCAACCCCAGCCAGGGAGAGATATGGCAGGGGGGGAGATGGGGAGACCCCCAGTGAGGGAGAACCGACCAAAACCATCCCTCCCCGCCAAGCCTCGGCTAGGGCAGGGGTTTTACAACTGGACCCCGACTCGGTGCAGCCCCACGCACCTGCGGGGTGGCAGTGGCAGGGCTGGCAGGCTGCCCGCTGCTCCCAGCGGTAGTGGTTCTGCTGGCAGCGCTCGCAGTGGGGCCCGGCCGTGTTGTCGCGGCAGTTGCGGCAGTGACCCCCGTGCCCGCTGCGGCGGTACAGCTCCCGGTCGTAGAAGCATTCCTCCGAGCGGCCGCTGCAGTTGCAAGCTGGGGGGGTAAGGCAGGAGGGGTGGTTGGCATCTGGGGGGTACAGGGCTCACCCAGGGGTTAAAGCAACCTCCTGGGGGGGGTTGGATGAGCCAGAGGGGCTGCTTGGCTCAGCGGCGTGAGCTTTCGGCAATGCCTCTGCCATTGGGAGCAGAGGTGGGTGCAGCACCGTGCACAGAGCAGACGGCTGCGCTCGTGGGGTAAGGAATCGTCAGGGAATCCTCAGGGTGATGCTGTGAAGGGAGGTCCTGCGGTGCCAAATCCTCCCTCCCTGCCCAGAGCAGCCTTACAAAATGGAGCAGGCACTTTCTTCCCGTGCGAGAAGGGCAGGAGCTGCAGGACGAGCCGACGCAACGCCAGCGCAGCCGACCACACGCCGTGACCACGGAGCCAGCCCGGCAGATACTCACGGAGACACTCGTTGGCGGCCTCGGCGGTGCCGCGAGCCCAGGGCCGATCCTGGTAGAAGGGCTGGCAGCGCTCGCAGTCGGCGCCGGCCGTGTTGTGCTGGCAAACGCAGACCAGCTGCCCGGCCTCGTCCGGCGCGCACTCGCTGGCGTGGCCGTTGCATTTGCACCTGCGGCGAGACCCCCGGCGTGGGGACGAGCCCCTCTGAGCACCGGCGTGGGCAGCAGCCAGCAGTGGGACAGTGCCCAGGGGCTGTGCAGAGTGTGGCCCTGGTGCTGGGGTGGCCATGGGGTGAGGAGCGGGGCAGAAAGCAGCTTGGGGTGTGCCGGTGTTGGGGGCTGCCCGCTGTGTCCCTGAGGCGATCCTGGCCCGGCCAGCTGGGAAGTCACTCACTGAGGGTGGCCAGTGTGAGATGCTAACCAGTTTCAGCTGCTGGGACCCGTGGGGGGGATGAGAGGAGAGCGATGGGGGCTGCCGGCCGGCTGGGAGCAGCCCCAGCCCCGCTGCCTGGGGGAGGCAGCTCTCACCGGGATGGAGAGGTTTCCCACTCCTCCCAGCCGGGGAAGGGCAGATGCAGCACAGCCCACGGGCAGCACTGAGTGGGTGTCACTGGTGGTTTTGTCCCACATCGGCTCCCCCATCCCTCCGGCAGCTGCTCTGGCTCCTTGGGCCGTGCTTGCACCGACTGCAAGCTCTTCCACCAGTCTCCGCAGCCTCAGGGCATCTCTCTGCTGGCACCCCAGGACCCCTCTTTTGCTGTGCCCAGGACCACAGGAGGAGCAACACAAGCCCCAGTGCCATTAAAAGACATGGGGGTGGGAGAGGGCAAAGAAAATACAGCTGCTGGCAAATGGAGAAGGCTTGGGGGGAAAAGACCTCCTTTCTGCACAAGTGGAAGGGCTCTGGGTTTCATCACCCATCTCTGCACTGCCAGCTCTGGTTTACAAATGGAGGAAGCCACATCTGAGCAGTTTGCCCCAAAAACGCAATTCAAACAAGACTGAGGTGGGGAGCAGCTGCCCCGGCCCCACAGCCCTGGGAAGGTCCCCTCCTTCCCACCCTCACCTCGGTCCGGCTGCCCCTCACCTGCCGCCGACGGAGAAGTCAGAGATGGCGTAGTAGTATGACTGCAGCACCTTGGGGTCCTTGAAGATGTCATCCCCAAATGTGTTGAGCCGGTTCAAGGAGATGAGCAGGTCGGTGACAGTCACCCACTCCTGCAGGAGACACAGGGGAAGGCACCTTGGCCAGGAGCCCGGGCCACCAGCTCCCCAGCCCAACTGGGACGCATCCTGCACCTTTTCTTACAGGGATGCAGAGCATCACAAGCGCTTTTACCCCAGGTGGCTGCATTAGCGCACTCGGTCCGGGGGGACCACGCACCCACCCCTATTCCCACCCCAGCAGCACCTGCAGCGCAGGACTCCCGTCGAAATTGTAGGCGCTGGGCCGTCCCTCGAGGGTGGAGAAAGCCACGTTGCCCCCGCTCAGCGGGGAGATGTCGCTGAATTCGTCGGTGCAGAAAGCCACCTGCTCGTCCTCCCCCGGCCGCAGGTAATGCCGCTGCCTCTTCCCGTAGGTCTTCTCGCAGGATGCGCTGTAGTACTGGAAGGGCACCCAGGGCCCGTCGGCACGGCTGCGCTTGTAGATAGCGAAGCTCTCGGGGCGGCTGGTGTGAAACTTCAGCCTCACGTAGGTGATTTCATAGGCTTTGCCTGGGGACAGACCCGCAACGCCATCACCCGATGGGTACCGCAGCCTGCGCCAGGGCTGAAATTATCCCGGCGCCCCATCCTGCACAGCTGTCGGCAGCCCCCTGCTCCCACTGCCGTCGCAGTCCCCCTCTTCCCTCCAAGCTAAAAGAGGAGAAATCACCATCCAGCTGCCCTTAACCAGCTCCTCCTCGCTGCAGCCCAAACCCCATCCAGCTCCAAATCGGCTCTTGCCCCAGTGCAGCCGCCCACCCATTGCCTGGATGCACCAGGCTGGTTGTACGGGCAAGAAGCCGCTGCAAAGCCAGGCTCTAACCAGCAGCCGGGGGGGAAAGAGTCAGACCCACGGCACTGAGCAGCATCCCTGGGGCAGCAGTGCCACAGGGATGGGGAGGTGGAAAGGGTCAAGGCCGGTCCCTTCCCAGGGAGCTGCGTGCCGGCACCCTGCATCGCTGCCGTCTTTGCTGGGATGAAGACAAAGAGAGGCCACCAATCCCCAGGGCAGCCGACACAGCTCTGAAAGCGCTTGAAAGAATTAGCAAAAAGGGGAAAAGAAAACACCAAAGTGAACATCAGAACGGCTTAATTGCCAGAGATGAAGGACCAGCTCAAAGACTGGATTGCTCCATAACAGCACCGCTCCTGACAGCACAAAACAATTAGCTGCAAGGTTTTGGCTTTATTTGAAAAGATAATGAGTTGGGAATGTTAGAGGGGTTATTCCGGGACTAGGAAAACAAGCCTTTAATTGGGCCCATATGAATACTGTCGCATATGTGCTGCGACTTTGCTGCAGGGGAGCCGAGACAGCCCAGCTACCGGCGCTGGGAAAAGCAGCTGCCTCCCATCAGGGATGCAGGGAGCACCCGGCGGAGCGCCCGGGGCAGGGGACAGACCCGCTCGCAGCCCACCCAGAGGTGACGAGGGCCAAGAAGGGGCTGGAACTGGGCTATCCCACCGCCGCCGCGCTCCCCTGTGCCTCTCCCCAAATTCACTTCCCTCCGGGACCCCTCCAGGCTGGTGACAGCAGGGGTGCCCCTGCCCTGCACCCCATAGCGGGGGGACATGCCTGGCAGGCGCCGGTTCCCAGACAGCACAGTCCCGGGGGGATGTCTACCAAAACAGCGAGGTCGGGGCCATCACCTCCTGGAGCAGTTTCCTCTGGGAGAGGAAGGGAGCTCGGCGCTGTGTCAATAAACAGCCCCTGCCCCAAGTGGCCCCACATGAGGGGAGGGGGTGGCTGGACTGGGGGAGCCTGATCTCGGTGCCTCCAGCTGGGATGGAGGAGACTCGCCGCCCTTGGGAATCATCCCAACAGAGCACGTGGTTTTCCCAGACAGGCATTTTAATCAGCCAAATTCTGCTTAGGGAAAAAAAAAAAAAATCCAGAAAATAACCCAGGCTGGTTGTCTCCGCTTTCTTGCTCGGGAAGGTGTGATGTGTCCCAAAGGCAGGCGTGCAGCACGACAGGGATGCTGGGAGGGTGCACAGGCAGCTGAGGGTGACAGCACCTGGACCCCTGGATGCTCTCCCATCTGTGCTGTCTTCCGAACAAAGTGTTCAACCCACCTCCCGCAGAGCCCAAACTGCAACTCGTACCGCACCGAGGGCTCCAGGCAGAGGATTTTGGAGGGGAGAGAGGAGCATGCGGGACGGTCACATCACCTACATGTCCCCAGCCACCTCTGGCTCCCCCGAACCTCAGCCTTCGGAGCCTGCTGCAGGGTCACATCCCACAGGAAAATCAGAGTCAGAGTCGCAGATGTGGATACTGCCTGATCTAGACACTCTGAAATGGACTGTTGGCATTCAGAGAGCTACCCGAGGAGCCCCGGTGCCTGTTGCCTTTGCAAGCCTGTGGATATTTTGGGTTCCTCCCTGACATCTGAGAGGGTAAATGGAATGGCCACAGGCGCTCGGGATTATCGATCTGCTCCGAGTCCGATGCACTGTAACAGCATGGCTGAAACCTCACAGAGAAGAGAGATTTAAAGGAGGATAATCTAATTAACGCCAATCAACAGCATGCAGGTAAACACAGGTCTTGTCTAACTCATTCGATATCTTATTTAATAAGCTCCCCAGGTAACCACGCTGGAGAACCTACAAGACATCTGACTCGGGACTGAGCAAGATGAGCAAGCTGGCAGGGACACGCTACGTGGGTTAAAAAACCCAATTACTTGGTGGAGCTCACCAGCGAGGACTCCTCCTGGGCTGTGTCCTGGGGGCTGCAGGGACCTGTTGGGCTTTTTCTCCTAAGTGAAAGCATTAAGGTAGCAATAAAAATGTGTGCAGCTGGGACAAGAACAGGGCCCAGCAGCTAGGGGAAAGATCAGACAGCAATGCACCGGGCACCAAAATGGCACTTTTTAGCATGGCAAGATATAGGAGCCATGCAGGAAGAACGGTACATTTGCAGGGGGATGCTCTGGCTCAGGAAGGGATCCAGGGACCGGGGCTGACAATGAGCTCAGTGCAACATTCTGGCCTTGGGTATGTTAATGGGAGACAAACACGGCAGGGTGGTCACAGGGACTGGATAAGACTCCACTGGAAACCCAAGCGCGGGGTCCAACAGGGCCCGCAAAGGAGCTGGGGAAGAGCCAGAAGAAAGACAGAGACTGGGAAGCAAGCCCCAAGGCTTGGGGAGCTCGGGCTGGGGCAAGGGGCTGCTGCACACACCGGCGTGCCGGACCCCGCACATATCTTTGTGCCGAGCTGGGACTGGTGGCCGCAAACTCGCCCGTCGGTGGCTTGCTCAGCCACGCAAGTCACATTCGGGTTGTCTACAGCCCAGGTCAAACACAAACAAATTTGGGGCAATCTGATAGCCTGCGTCAGATGGGCAAAAGGCCGGCAGATCCCTTCCCGCGGGGCTAGCAGGAGCGGGAGCAGGGATGGCCGGCTCCTCCGGCATCGATTCTCATGCCCGGTGGGGAGCCGAGCCCCGGCCCGGTGACGAGGACCAGATGTCCGTCCGCTCGCAGGGGGCTGGGAAAGCGGCGACCTCCGCCAAAACCGGCAGCTCCCGCGTCGCTGCCGGGGCAGGCGCGGACCCTCCACCGTCACCCCGACCCTGGCCGTCGGGTCCCACCAGCACGGCTCCGTGCCACGCTGCTGCTTGGTTGTCCCCTTACCGGCTCCGGCCGCAGCCCCTCCGCTACCCCCCTTCGGCATGCAGATGGCAGGAGACTGCAGAGAATGAAGATTTTACAGCGCTGGCCAATAGCCAGGGTAGTTTAGATGGCAGGAAAATGTTAAAAACCTTTTTAAAATGCCAGGCATACCCCATGGGTTTAAGTACCCTCCAAGCGGACGACTTGCATAGTGTCTAAAATATAGAGGGTCGGATCCCAGCTGGGGAAACCTGCTGGGGCTGCACGGTGTGTGCAGAGCTCTGCCCCCCCACTGGAGACATACTGGGCATCCTCAGCAATCCACGGGGGTAAAACAGCACGGGCTTGGCACCCCCAGTGCTCACCCCCAGTGGGCAAGGCTCTCCCAGTGGGTGGCCAGGAGTAGGGACCCGCCTGCCTCCTGCTCCACAAACTTGCATAATCGGTAAAAATCAGCCTCGGGTGAATGGGAGAGCAGATACCCCGGGCACGGCTGGCTGGGAAGCAGCACAGGCAGGCATGGCCGCTGGCATCCTCACCCCACAAAGGACCGGGGCTCGACTGATGGACGGGGCAGACCCTCCCCGGGTCCTTTCAGTGATCCACCCGCCCCTCCTTGCACCCCCTAAAAACCCTGGGGAAGGTCCTGTCTTTAACCCAAAACAGGCACCAAGAGCTACGGGATGCAGGAGCATCCACCCTGCCCCGTCTCTGCACCCAGATCTCGATGCACCCACCGCCGGTTTCCCTCGCTGGCACCGCGGGAGCTCCCGCCGGCACTTACCCAAGTGGAGGGTGATGTTGACGGAGTTGGGGTGCTGGATGCCGAAGGCCATGGACTGGCTCTGCCACCAGGTGCTTTCCTCCTGGCTGTGGAAATCGGTGAGGAAGGAGGCGTTGTGGTGGTGCCGGGGGTCGGTGGCATCGCAGCGGTGGCACAGGGTGCTGGCGTGGCGAGCGCCCATCTGCAGGCAGTAGTCCTCAGGGGGTGAACCGCACGTGTTGGTGGCCTGGGCGGCCCGGCCGAAGGCGGCGTTCTCGAAGACAGGCATGCAGCGACGGGGCTGGCCCCGGGGGTCCCGGCAGGCGGGTGAGCCCCCCGTCCCCAGCCCCAGCCCCAGCAGGACCAGTAGGCAGAGCCCGGGAGGCCGTGCCATGCTGGGGCTCGGCTGGCCGGACTCTGAGCCTCCTCCGGATGGCATGGTGGGAGCAGGCGGGATGGGATGGGATGGGATGGGACAGGATGGGATGGGATGGGATGGGACTCATCCCCCCGCCCGGCACCTCCTCTCGTTCCGAGGTCCATCTTGTGGAAGCTGCTGGGAATGTCGAAAGCTTCGTTTGTGAGCCCAGTCTGCAGGGTTTGGGCTTCCCCCAGGCCACCCTGGTCCCCAGGCTTCGAGGCCGGGCAGGATCGGACCCCTCCAGCGGGATGCACCCTGGCTCCGTTGCTTCGGGGATGGAGAGGGTGTTGCATCTTCAGTTGCAGGGACGGAACTGAGCTCCTCCATTTCTCAGCTCCAGGGATGAGCTTGTGGTGATATGTGCCTCACCCACGCAGGTTTTTCCTTAAATTGGTGGGGGTCACCACTTTTCTTGCAGCCCCAAAATCAAGAGGGGGTGGGGGAAAGGCTTTGGAGCAGACCCAGCACCCTCTTCTCCCCCCATACTGATTTGTAGGAATCCCACTGCTCCCCCACTCACACCAACCTGGCTGGGTTGTGGGTCTGTGACACCCCCCATGCCTCCACACCAGCACCCACGAGTGGGGGTCCCATCCCTGCCTGCTGCCTTGGGGCAGCCCATTCCCCTGAACCAGGGCAAGGGCACATCCCTGTGGAGGCATCTCCATGGGGTGGCAAAACCAGATCATTGCCAAACCTCATTAGCAGCTTCTCAGTTAATGCTAATGATAGTCTGTGCCAGAGGGGATCCCTCTCAGGACTGTGAGACCCTCCAGATTTGACCCATGGGGACCGGAGGGTGACAGCAAATGGGGAGAGAGGCAGGCTGGCACAGTGCCGTACCCCTGGGCAGACCCTGACCCCCACTCCACAAGGGATATGTTTGCAAAAGTGGGGTGCATGGGGGAATTCTGCCTCTGCCCCCCCACCGCTCAGCTGAGCTGCCCACAGGAGCCCTGGAAACTTAGCCCTCATTTATAATTTAAGCTCCCTTCCTCCCTTCCCCTCCTTTTCTACTCTTATTTATTTTATTCTCCTTCTCCATACACACTGCGGGGAGAAAGCACCGGAGGGAAGCTGTGAATCAGAGTCTTCAGCAGCGGCTCCCGCAGCAGCACCGTTTCAAAGCCCCATTATCATATATTGACCCGGGCTCTGACAGCCAGAGCCAGCTCCTCTGGGAAGGGTGAATTTCCCAGCACCGAGGAGCTGTGCATCAGCTGCCTGGGAGTGGGCGGCCGGTGGCAAACCCACTGCCAACCTCCAGGGAGAAAGAGAAGGGTTTTCAGCTCAATAATCGCCCTATGCATCTCCACCACCTGTTTTAAAGGGATTTGCATCCTGCAGGGATGAGGTTTTCCAGGTGTTTTGCTTTTCCCTTGCTATTGAGGCTGCAAGCTCTGAGCAGGAGAGGGTCTCTTGTGTCATGGGTTTGCCACCTCCTCCTTGGGATGTTACACAAACCCAGGAGATGTTTTCCCTGCCTGGCCCATCCCTTCTTGCAGAGGGGTCCACATTAGAAAGTGATGAGACCACACAACCAGGGCTTGGTGGCTGCTGAGGGGATGCCCAGTGGATTTGAGCAAAGCCGATGAGTATCCCAAACCCACCTCCTCCTCCAGCATTGCCCACCCAGCATGGGGGGATGGCCCACAGGGCCAGAGCTTGACGGGAATCGGTGGTGACACCGCTGTGCACAGCAGTGGGGATGCTGCAGCTGGTGTGGGAGCCGCATGTCCCCAAAACGATTCAGCTGCACCCCAGGCTGGCTGAGCCCCTCACCAGTCTCCTGCCAGGTGCTGGACCCAAGCCTTTGCCTGCCCAAGGAGATGCCCAACACTTGCAGTGCATGGGATGGGTGGTCCAGGCAGGATCCGGCCCTGGCTTGTGGTCTGGCACTGCTCTGGGACCGGCTGCTGCTGGTGAGTCGGACTGAAGGCTGGCTGGAAAAGCTCAGTTCCTCTCCCATGCACAGCAGTTCCCTCCGGTCAGGTTTCCCTGGGTCATCTCTGAGGGCAAACTGGGGAGGTGGGAGACCCCATCTCTGCACACATACACCCCCAGTCCTGGGGACTGGCAACCACCCTGACATGGCCCACAGGTGGAGGCAGGTCAGCCAAGGGCTTTGGCCCAAACCTGTCCCCCACGACTGTCCAGTGATGGAAAACCCCATCACAACTAATGTCACTCCACACGAGAAGGGCAGGAGTAGCCCCAAATAATCCCCTTTTCTCTAAGAACAAGGCACTGGACACATTTTTCCTGCACTGCAATGCCTACCAGGTTTGGATGGTGCCTTCTCACAGCAAAATCTTCACACGCAGATGCATCACCTTGCCATGGGTGAGCTTCACCCCTGGACGGGATGAAGAGCTAAAGTTGGTTACGGGAAACCCCTTGTCTTTCAGGGACATGGACGAGCTTGAACAAGGGTGTCCATAAGAGCAATCAGAGCTGGGATTTGCTCCCAGTCCCACTGGTATAGTGGGGTCCAGCCTCAGCTGAAGTCCTCCGTACCTGGGGAGACTTCACCCGCTGCCCCAGGACTTTGGTCCAAGCGTGGTGGAGACGGGGTGACCAAGGCTGTGATGAGACCCCAACCTGTCATCACAGCCCAGGAGCCTTCTCCTGCCCCGGCGTGGACCTGGCACCTGGCAAGGGTTAAGAGCCATGGAGGCGGTGAGGGGAAAACGTTCTTCTGATTTGCTTAATGAACGTTAATTAAGAAGACAGAAGATAGCAGATTCCTTCAGGGTACAGATGAAAGGCCTGTTAATTAAATCTGGAGAGAGAGCGCAGGGCCGACTGATCCTCCTCCTGATCAGACCTGACAAGGCAGGCACAGGGCCGGAGCAAGGTGTGCCGGAGCCCACAGCCCCCGTCTCCTGTAGCCCAGCTCAAAGCTGGCAGCACAGCCAGGTTTCGGCAGCACAGCCAGGTTTCGGCAGCACAGCCAGGTTTCGGGTGCTACCACCTGCTTACCTGCCTCCAGCACCCGTGAGGCTGAAGGTGGCCCCATCCCATGGGGCTGGGGTGGGAGCTGGGTCGGTACCCCTGACTCCGGCTGCACCCCGGGCCAGTACTGCGAGATGGACACACGCTTGGTTTCCAGCAGAACCTTCCCCAGAAGGGATGAGGTGCCCTTGCTGTAGTGCTGGGTAAGAAGAGGTGTCCCTTGGCCAGCTCCATCCTGGGGAAGAGGAGGAGAAGGAGTTTTTGCCATCCAGCTTGGCGGTTTGCCCCAGGTCCCACCACCAAAGCCTGCGGGAGCTGGGCACGGGTTAAATGGGAGCAGATCCGAAAGGCACCGGGTACCACTTTGTGCCAGTGCATCCCCATGCCAGGAGGGACAAGTCTCCAGGGCCGGCTGTCGCACGCTAACGGGATTCTGCTAGCAGCCTGCTGCCTCCACACCCACGCTCCCCGCCAGCTCTTAGCCCAGGCTTATTTTTAAAAGCAGAGCAGCCGAGCATCCCAAATTACCCCTCTGAAACTGCAGCAGCCCTACCCTTCCTGCCCTGCCTGGCCCCCCCAAGGCAGTGGCCGTACCCGCTCCCTCTCTCCCGCTCCCACCCCATCCCTCACCCCGGGACCGGAGCGAGGATTAGAGGCAGGTTCAGCCACACAACGCCACGAGCATTTCAATCAGCACAGCCACGGCGCTCCGCCGCTCTCCCAGCACGCAGAGGCATGTGAGGAGCAGAGATCTTTGGGTTTTGCGGCAGGGTGATGGGGTGGTCCTCATCAAAAGCAGTGGTCCCTTGGGCAGAGGGGACCAGCCCAGGAGGGGGTAGCTGGCAGCCCCCCCACCTCGGTTCTGCTCACCCCAGGGTGAAGACCCCATTGAGTGGGAAACGGCACGTGCAGTGTAAATAATGTCTGGAGCATCTCTTCTGTGCGCTGGCTTATTTTGTAAACCTGAACTTTGCAAAATGTCATGAAATGGAGAAATGGGAGGCCTGGGATGAGTAAATCTCTATTAGAAATTCCCCAGGATGGTGGCAGTCATGTTCTTTCTCAGTGATGGCACATTACAGCCCAACCCCGGCTCCGGGAGCGGGGTCATGTGCGGCACTGATTGCAAAAAGTATTTAATTAACACTGCCATAAATACAGCGCTAGTGATGCCAGCCAGACCATGATGGGGCAGGATGCTGCTGAGCTGCGTGAAGTTTTGCCAAGGCAGACAGGAGAAGATGAGGGAAGGCAGAGAAAATCCAGCGGATTTTGCTCCCTGTCTTGCACCAGCCCTTGGGGGCCTCAGGGGGGCAAAAGGAGGATGGGACAGGGACATTGCCCCTCAAGAGGGCATCCCCTGAGCAAGAGCGCTTCACCATCAGCACCCGGACAAGTGGGGAAACCCTATAACTGGGAAACGAGCTCTCTGGGGGCAAGATGCTCCCAAAACAGTTGCCAGAACAGGCATCACCATCCTCTCCCCTGATGCACAAATAGTCTGGAAGCCAACTTTTCAGAGCTAATCATCCCCAAATTTTCTCAATACCTGGCAGACAGTGAAAATAGGGACATCCCAGCTTCAGTCATGCATGACCACAAGCTCATTGTCTCACAGATGAGCTGAAGAACACCAGATCTGACCCAGCCCAAGGACACGGGGTGACAGCCGAGCCATCGTTGTCCCCAGGACACACGCTTCACCCATCTCCTCAGGGCTCAGGAGGTCGGGGACCACGAGATGAGGAAGAGCCAGATCAGCGCAGGACCAGGCGATTTTAGGCACAGCCAAAAAAGGCCCTTTCCCCGCCTGAGCTCATCAGTAGCTTAATGATACCTGCTAAAAAGCTTCAGAGTCCCTAATCGCTCATCATATTACAGCTGCTCACAAGTGAGGCCAACCAGTACAAACCTCCTCGAAGCCTTTCTAATTAACGAGCAGGAGCTTAGACTCTCCCAGCCCAAAAGCAGCATCTCAGATAAAACTGGCAGCCTTCCCACTAGTCCATGGCCTCCCC